CCATCTCATTTCCCTTTGGGGTTGCTGTAGGTGATCTGGAAGTCTGGTTTTGAGACTTATTTACATGTTTTCTCATTTTGACGGGGGGTGGGGTGGGGTGTTGGCGCCTGCACGGGTTACCTCCTGTGAGCTGGGAGAGGTGTTCCAAGGGGCCAGGAGCAGCGGTAGGGATGGTGGCCCAAAAGCCTTTTCCTGTGGGCTGGGAGCAGCGGGAGGGATGGTGTCCAGGAAGCCCCTTCCTCTGGACCAGGAGCAGTGGGATGGCGGCTCAGAAGCCCTTGCCCCTGGGCCAGGAGCAGCGGGGCTCAGTACCATGGTCTGTTGATCTGGTGTCCTCTGCGTCTTTGTAGTGTGGAATCAGGTGGCTGTACAGAGGAGTGGGGGGGGGCGTCCAGTGGATTGTTGGCGGGGCGTAGTCTGATTCGATGTGTTCCATGCGAGTCACCACCTGGGTAGGGCGTCCACAGACTTGCCTGTCTTTAGCAGGCTGATTCGGCGTTTTCCTCACGACTCAGGACCTTGGTAGGGCACATCCTCAACTTTTTAATAAATGTTTTACTTTCAGACATGATCTTTCTAAATTGTCAGGGCTGGAACCTGGAACCCTCCTGCCTCAGAGTTCAAGTAGCTGGGATATTAAGCATGTGCCACCACACTCATCTTAAAGTGAATTTTATTATGCTTTAACATACATTTATTTTACTCACCGAATAAAAACATTTTGAAACAATGTTAATTTTAGAGATTAAAAAATAATGAAATGACATATTGTTAACTTTTGTGAAACTCACATTCTTTGACTTTTGTTTATAATGTATATAATATGTTTATGGTTTTGTACTCATTTATTTATTTGTTTTCCCCTTCATTGTCTTGGTTAGGACCATCTGTTGTTCGCTATCATCTGCCAAAGATGTTGTTATTGTGGCGAAATGTTTTCCCTCGTTCTTTAAAGGAATTGGAGGCTGAGAAGGCTAGAGGCGATTCTTTTACCTGGCAGGTAACTTTGGAAGGCCGTGCTGGAGCTTTATGTGGTAAGAACTGAAAGGATTGCATATTCAGAATATTATCATATTACTAAAATGTTTGTGATGTGAAATCACTATTTTAATTTTTTATTTTAGTATCTAATGATAAATTCATAGACTTCTGGATTTAGAAAAAATTTTATGAATAACCAACTCCAGCAAACTGTCATCATAGTTATTGCTATTTTATAATAAAAATGAAGCTGAGACTCTAAGAAAGTTGTCAGAACTGATAAGACTGGAACTAAAAGCCAGGTCCCTTTATTCCTATTCTCTGGAATCTTCAGTCTGTCCAAAAACACCAAATTGCCAAGTAAACAACCCCAGTGAGTTTCTAAAGAAGAAAGAAATTTAGGATTACTAAGGTTGCTGGGTTATAGTTAGTCTTTGTGGCTGTTTTTTCTAGTTGTTACCAAATCTGTAACTTTTGATGCATTTTTCAGACATCAGCATTACAAAAGTGTTGAATACAGTTGTTGTTGTCTAGGACTCAGCAACTTACAGGGAAGGCTCCAGTTTTCATTTGGGAAATGGAATTATATTAGGTGTCCCTGTACTTTGTAGTTTATCTCAGGGTAAAAAATGCTTTTCCCACTCTGGGAGAGATACATGTTTAACCTTAAGGATGCAGTGCAAGGTGTCAGTTTTGCCCCCACATATCTGAGAAGTAGTTTAGTCTTAGCTCTATTGCTAAAGGGCTATTAAAGACCCTACTTTTTGTTCGATCATTTGGTTCACTCCTGGTTCTGTCCTAAACCTGCTTTCTTTGATGTCATCTGAATTCCTGGAGAGTTTAGTCTTCTGAGTTTCCACTCACGGAAGTCTCCCTGACATGCACCTTCCCTCCTTCCATCTCTGCTGTCCATCCTTCTCTTAGTCTTTTCTGATGATTTTTCTTTAATTGTTGCTGGATTTTCTTCTGGCTTAACATGGTTTCAGAACCTTGTGTTTTATAATAAAGACTTTTAGATGCCTTTCTCTTTTTATAATTTTATAAGTTTAATGACTCACAAAAGCTGCTCTAAATCTGTCCTTTTAAAAATTTTTTTCTAGCTATGAGGAGTTTTGTTGCACATTGTCCTGAGCTTCTAACTGAAGATGTGATTAGAAAATTAATGACCCCTATTGAATGTGCAATGACTATGATGTCACAGTAAGTAACGCTTATGACAATATCCTGCTTCGTACATTAATAAATATTTATGTAATTCTCAGTCATATTTTACTTCCTTCTAGAGTCATACAGGAAATATCTAAAACTTAATTTTTGTAAAGTGGCTTTAAAAATTGAAACAGTGAGCCAGGTGTGGTGGCATATGCTGGTAATCCCAGCACTCTCTTAAGGCTGAGGCAGGATTGCAAGTCGAGCGCAGCCTGGACAACTTAATGAGACCTTGTTTTAAAATTTAAAAAAGGGGCCCAGGGATTTAGCTCAGTGGTTTTGCCGCCTGCCTCGCAAACACAAAGGACCCAAGTTCGATCCCCGGTACCAAAAAATAAAATAAAAGGGCTGGGGATATAGCTCAGTGAGTAGGCCCTGGGTTCTACCCCTAGTATTGCATTAAAAAAATTGTTTTAATGATGTAAAGTACAATGTTATTTTATAGTGTTTTTACTACTAATAGTAAAGACCATGAAATAAACTAAAAAATGTGAAACAAATGAGAATACATTTATACATTGTTAAAAGTTTATAAATAATGCTTGTTCTTGTAAGTTATTCCCAGCTGTGCTTTGATATTTTAGCATTCCATCTGTAATTAAAGCCCATGGAGCTCATCTGAAAGCTAGTGCTGCAATGGTCCGTTTAAGACTTTATGATATCTTGGCTTTGTTACCTCCAAAAACTTACGAAGGTAAGAACCTGATAAAAGTTCTTCATTATGCCTTTCCAGTTCCTCACAATATTAAAGAGTTCTGGCCAGGTCTCTCTGACTGGCTTGTACAAAGAAAGGCTACCATTTTACCTTTCTTCATACAGTTGCTCATACTTACTGAGTTCTCTCTGTGTTCCAGGTTCTAGCCTAAGCCTCTATTTTATAGATGAAGAGTCTGATAGAGAGAGTTAAAGTAACTTGCCCAGGTCTTACAACTCATTAAATGGCAGAGCTTGGATTCAAACCAGATAGTTTACCTTCAATATCTATACTTTTAATTAACATTTTAAACAGATTCATACATTTTGTAATGTAGCCATTAATTTAGGATCTAGAGGGAAAATAGTTATGTACTTTGCAGAAATCAGATATTATAAAAAATGTTAATATTAAAATAAACCATTAATTTGCCTCTAATACAACTATGCCCAAGAATTTAGGTGTACTCTGGTTTAGTAATTTACACATTATTGAGGAATGAGCAATAAATAATAATCACATCATTTAATATATTTAAAATAAAGGATTTGTCTTCTATTTGAGTTAATACAGATTTTTAAAAAAGAAAATAGGGATTTTATTCCTGTTGAACATATTATTGCTTCTTGTGGGCAATAATTTTAATTTTTATAAAAATTATTAGTTTTACTCTGGTCTAAAATTATTTTTTTTAGGATCTTTTAATGCACTTCTTAGAGAACTGGTAGCAGAATTCACTTTGACTGACAACTCAGCCAACACAACTACCTCCCTCCTCCGATCCCTCTGCCATTATGATGATAGTGTTCTTCTTGGTTCTTGGCTTCAAGAAACCGATCATAAATCAATTGAAGACCAGGTAATAAACCATATAGGAAAATAGAACACTATCTTAATCTAAAACAAAGGTACACATTGTCATGTAAGAATAAAATATTGTGGACTAAGCTTTCATTTTCAGGTAGCTTTTTTAGACACTTAATGATAAAGCATCTTAGTTGTAGAAAAATGGTGAAAAAAAATAAGCAGCATTGGTTAGAGTTTGGAAAAATATCTTTATTCAGTGTTCTTTGTACTGAGATATCTTGTGGTGACTGTGGGAAAAATTATTATTATTTTTTTTTGGTACCAGGGATCAAACTCAGGACCTTGCACTTGCGAGGCAGGTGGCGGAACCACTGAGCTAAATCCCCAGCCCCTGGAAAAATTATTTTTAACTGGCTCTTGTTTTGTTTTGTCTTAGTTTGTCTTATTTTATGAGATTGGTGGAGAATGAGAGTTAGTAGGTTGGAGATTAACAACTCTTTAGTCCACTGAATACATAATTTTATGTACTTTTAAAAGAGATTAAAACCCCTTTTAAAATAACTTTTGTGTGTTTAGTTATGGCTAATACTATTTTACTCATACATTAATAGAGGGTTATAAATGCTTTCAATGAATAAGACTGTTCCTAAAATCCTGTAAGATATTATTGGTGATTTTTTTAGATAGCCAAATCATATTTTTATTTGTTTTAAAATTTTTCAGGTCTAGTCATTCTTTTTTTAAATTACCTTTTTTCCACTTCTCTGTTCTATGCCTCATATGTAAAACTTAGTGGGTGAATTTCCTGAAGTAGATTTTGAAAAATTTTATGTGATTCCTTTGCAGCTCCAGCCAAACAGTGCCTCTGGAAGTGGGGCTCTGGAGCACGACCCTTCTTCTATTTACCTACGAATACCTGCTGGGGAAGCTGTACCTGGTCCTCTCCCCCTTGGAGTCTCAGTCATTGATGCTTCTGTGGCTCTTTTTGGTGTAGTGTTTCCTCATGTTTCTTATAAACACCGGTTAGTATTAAGTTAATCAGGTAACTTTAGTTGAATATAAGTTATATTCCAACAGTAGATTTTCCCACCCTAGTTAATGGTCCAATAGAGTGAGTAGTATTTAAACAGAAATTTCATGTATTTACTAAATAAGTGGCATGTACATGATAAACTATGCAAATTCCACCTAATTTGAGTCTATATTTAAGATTTGGCTCCATGTTCTGGCATCTGACATCCATTGTACTGTGGATTGTGTCTTGCACAACAAAATTTTCATTATAATAGTTTGATTGACAGTTCATAAGTAGGTTTCACTATGTTTCATTAGGGATGTTAGTTGATTGAGTCTGTTGTTTTTGTTACTGAAGAAGTAAGTAGATGAGAAGTCAACTCTCAAAGCATTTGTTTGTGAGATGGTTCAGGTCTGGAATTTGGGGAAAGTAAGATAAACTGGTTCATTTTTGTAACAGCATTTTAGTTTGCTATATTTTTTATCCACAGTCATCATCCCTAACTTTAGTAGTCACTTCAGATATTTATGATTTTTCAAAAATGAAAATCAAAAATGAATTAATGTAAGATTTTTATAGGTAATTTAGAAGTTTTATAAAATATGCCTTAAGTATATTACATTAAGAGATAATATATCTTTAAATATGTGGATTGCATGATTAGTTTCTTCTAAGTTTGCTATTCATATTTAAAGCTTAAATGTAAAATTTACCCAGATTACTTGAAGAATATTTGGTTGCCATATAAGTGTTAAAGTGCATTAAAGGTGAGAGAAGGTTTCAGAAGCCAGGCATGGTGGTGCATGCCTGTAGTCCCAGCACTCCAGAGGCTGAGGGAAGAGGATTGCCATGAGTTCAAGGCCAGGCTGAACTACAGTGCTTGGATCACAGGCAAGCGCCATCACACCCAGCCTCGCAAGTGTAGTAACCTTAACTGTATATAGATCTAATTGGAAATCTTGCAGAAGGCTCATTATTTCTTCCTGTGAGTTTCTGAAAAATGCTTTGATGTGAAACTTGTGGCATACTATAAATTGAGCTTACATCCTTATAGTGACCTTTGAGAGATTTTGATTTCCATTTTAGGTGATAATTATCTTAGTGAAGTACTATCAAACTTCCCTGGATTCATTTGCTTTACAAACTATTTCTTTTAAAATAGTCTCACTCTTTATCAAAATAGTCTAAAGTGCCATGACTTTTTTGGTAAACTCTCTTCGTTCTTAAAAATTTGGAACAATATAAAAACCAATTCACTTCTTTTTTTTATATTTAAAAAACTGACCAAAGATAAAATCTTTATTGAAATCTCCCAGTAGCTTTTGAAGTTAGGATATAAGGTACTGTTCTCTTCTATGTAAAAGTATTTTTAAAAAAGAAAAATACACCTTACTTCTTAAATTTCTAACTTAAAAATCCTCTGCAGAGCTACATAATGATTATTATGTTCAAGAAACCATGAGTGTTTTGTTAGTCAACTTTCTGTCACTATAACACAACACCTGAGATAACTAATTATAAAGAGGATAAGTTTACTTGACTTACAGTTTTGAAGATTCTAGTCCATGATTGACCTCACTGCTTTTGATCCTGTGTTAAGGCAGCATATCATGGCTGGAGCATGTGGAAGAGAAAACTGCTTTCCTTGTGGCTGGAAAGCAAAAGGGCAGAGAGAGGGGCCCAGGGGCCCACTGTTCCTTATAAGGGCAGACCCCCAGTGATGTAAACCACCTCCAAACATCCCACCCTGGGGATTGAGCCCTTAACACACGGGGGGGGGTGAGGGGGGAATCCAAGAGGCAAACTGTGGCACACCTACTATGTGCCAGGTACTTTGTTGGATGCTGGTGTTAATGATAAAGACCACTGCAGTTATTACCTAATTTTGCTAATCAAAACTATTCACTCTCTTCTTTGTTCTGTTTAGTAACTACATGATCATGTATTGATTAAGAATGAGGAGCTCTAGTTTAAGTCAGCTATGGAATGCGATAGAAAAGAGACAGCATGCAGTGTTATTTGCTAAACAATTACTTTGCACTCTTACCAGTTTTTTGAGCCGTATTTGAATAAAAATATCACTAATGTGATCTTTATCCTGTTTCTATAGATTGCAAATGTTGGATCACTTTGCTGAATGTGTTAAACAAGCCAAAGGTGTGCGCCAGCAGGCTGTGCAGCTTAATATATTTACTGCTGTTCTAAGTGCTCTAAAGGTATTTACTTTTAAAACAATAAATATTTTGAAATAAAATGTTAATGCATCAGCAGGCCTGGCATATCAAGATTATTGTAATGTTTATATATTTATATGCACTTGATAACTGTGCTTTTATATTAGCTTTAATAAAGTTAGTAGAAACCTTATTTTGGGCTCATTATAATTTAATGAGTGTTTTATATTTTAGTAATATGTAAGTTCCTGTTTCAATTTGAACCTCAAATTTCCCAGTGCCAGTAAGTTCTTTGGGAATTTCCAAAGAGGTCTGATTCATTAAATCTGATTTTTTTTCCCCCTGGTACCTGGGATCAAACTCAGGACCTTGTACTAGCCAGGGAGGTGTGGTGCCACTGAGCTACATCCCCAGCCCTTAAATCTGATTTTCTACTGAAGGTTAACTTGGTTTCAACTTTTTTTTGTTTTTAGTACTTGGAATCAGGGCCTCAAGTTTGCCAGGCAGGCACTACACCACTAAGCTACATCCCTGGTCCATACTGGAGGTTGACTAAACAAAGCTTAAGTTTGATTTGTGATTTAGAGAGACGGTGTATTTAATTTAAAGAATGTTGAGCCAGACGTGGTGCTGCATGCCTGTAGTCCCAGCACTCGGAAGGCTGAGGCAGGAGGATCACCGTGAATTCGTAGCCAGCCTGGGCTATATGGTGAGTTCAGGGCCAGCCTGAACTACAAAGGGAGACCCTGCCTCATAAAACAAACAAACAAACAAAATGTTGCATGTAGAGAGTGTTTTCTGGTTTAGCTACTCATTAGGTTTATCTAGTGCAATTTGTTTAACTTTTTTTTTTTTGTTTACATGTCTTGCTCTGAGATAGGGTCTTGCTATGTAGTTCAGGCTGGCCTTGATCTCACTATGTAGCCCAGGCAGGCCTCAGACTCACGGTGGTCCTCCTGGCTCAGCCTCCCGGGTGCTGAGATAGAGGTGCACCACAACGTCCAGCTTCCTTAACCTTTTTTGCACTGAGTTTCTACACTATAAAGTAGAATAGTAGTTTGCCACAGTAGTAGTTTACCTCACAGAGTTCATGCATTGTACTATGCAGCCTTTCATAATGGATGTGATAGCTTTTTATATTATGTAGCACTAAGCATATTGTAGGATGTTGCTTTAAAATAAAATGATAGCCAATCCAAGTATTTATGTGAGTATATAAGTCATGTGTTGCAGATATTAGGGAAAAGGATATAGGTACTAGTTACAGAGGTAAAGGTTTATACTATTTAAATAGCCATTAGTATATGCCCTCTTTAGAAAACATCAACTAATACTGACATCTGAGATTTTTTCTTTTTAAAAGTTAGGTGACCAGGCATGGTGACCCACTCCTGTAATCCCGGCACTTGGGAGGAGGCAGGAGGATTGCTGTGAGTTCAAGACCAGCCTGAACTACATAGTGAGACCCTGTCTCAAAAAAAAAAAAAAAAGTGAGGTGGTCATGGTCTTCCTTGTTGGTTGGAAGACTACTGAACTATAGATATTACTGTACAGGTTATGCTTTTTTTCATTGTTAAGCTGATGCCGCTGCTATAGTTATTTACCCCTAGCACAATGACTTAGCTATTTTGTGTCAATTAAATTAAATTCTATAATAGTAAATATAAATGGAACAGCTATATTAGTGTTTAATATGATACACAAACTATATCAAAATTCAGTTACTGATTATTTTTACCAAATTTTTTAACACATATATTGATTATACTCTTAAGACATAAGTATGGGAGCTGGGTGAGGTGTCACATACATGTAATCCTAGCACTTGGGAATCGAGGTGGGAAGATCATGAGTTTGAGGCCAGCCTATACATGGTGAGTTGAAGACCAGCCTGGACTACATAGTGAGACCCTGTCTCAGAAAAAGACATAATTGTCTTCTGTTGAATTTTATATAAGTGAGTCAAAGTTTCATTAAGCCTTTTCTTCCTTAAAGTTTGAGTTATTTATCATGTTTTGAAATACTCAGGAAAATGATTTCTGTCAGTTTAACATACTGATTCTAGACATAGTATTACAGATGCAAAAATCAACTGAAAAAAAACAACTGAAAAAAATAAAGTATGATTGCAGCATATTTTTTTCTTTATATTCAACATGAATAGTCATCACAGTTTTTGTTTTGTTTTTAAATCAATGTAGGGCTTAGCTGAAAACAAAAGTACTTTAGGACCCGAGGAAGTTCGAAAATCAGCTCTGACCCTGGTTATGGGAGCTCTTGACAACCCAAACCCCATCCTTCGGTGTGCAGCAGGGGAAGCTCTTGGAAGAATGGCCCAAGTGGTGGGAGAAGCAACTTTTATTGCTAGAATGGCCCAGTACAGCTTTGACAAGTAAGTGTGGCTCTTTACTAATGCTAAGTTCAGCAACTAGGCAAAGATACCTTATAGTAATCCGTAACTGTTATCTAGACAAGACATGGCAGGTGACAGTATTTTGTGTTTTTTCATAACCATCTCAAATTTTCAATCTAATAAGTGATTTCACTTTGGAATCTTGGAATGGTGTAACATGTTAGGTACTTTCAGTTTGGGGAGGATGTCTAATCCAGCTCTTGGAATCAGTAGTGTTAGATTTCTTAGTTGTGTGTACTTGTTTAAGAAGAAGTAATGTATGATACACATCACATTTTAAAGACTAATCTGAAAAAAGGATGTACAAAATGTCAATTACATTGATTACATCATATTTTAATATTTTGGATATGTTTTGTTAAAATTAATTTCACCTATTTTTTCTCCTGTAATGTGGCAACTAACATATTTTTTAATTAAATTTATTGGTACAATTTAAATATACATAATGATCACATTCATTATATGGAATTTGTACCTGTACAAGACATATCTTCATTCTTAATTTTTTAGAATATTTAAAATTATGTTTACAACTTAACATTATAATCCCAGTAAACATCTCTGTCCTATATTATAATTATGTGTTGGTTGCATACACTACACCATTATCAAAACTCATTATATACTTCAATATACACTTAATTTAATGCTTTAAATTAGAAAATTTTGCATGTAACTACATATCAGTACAGATTATTTAAAAATTAATAGGGAGTTTTTATTTTTTAATTTGTTAAAAATGTATTTCACAGAGAAAAATGTTTGGGCCATTTTATAGAGGCTCAAATTGTAATTATAAAGACTGGGAGATATAGTTTGATGATAAAAGTACTACCTACCACGAGTAAGGTCCCCTTGGGTTGGTTCCAGCATGCAAGAAGGAGAAAGGAAATTATAGGGAATTTGTTAAGTGAACTATAAAATATTGTATTTGATTTTGTGAGTACAAGTGTGTGTGTGTGTATATGTAGTATGCTGGGGGTTGAATCCAGTCCCTCGTACGTGTTAAGCACATGCTGTACCACTGAGCCACAGCTCCCACCCCACAAACAACTTTTTGTTACATTTTCGAAATTAATTATGAGCCATTATTTTATTGAAAACCAATTACAGCTAGGCATGGCAGTGCATTCCTGCAGTGCCAACACTTGGGAGGCTAAGAGAAGAAGATCGAAAGTTCAAGGACAGCCTGGGCTATGTAGTGTCTTGTCTCAAAAAAGCCAAAAAACAAGCAGACAAAGACAGTTATAAAAATAAATTTCAAATTACTCTTGGCTTTTCGAGGACTAATTAAAAACTAAAGTTTCAGAGTTTTTCTAAAATTACAGTAGATTTTATTCGACTATTTTATGTGAAATATGTGACTTTAACAAACTGTTTTACTTTATTTTTTATTTATGTTATATAAGGGATTGAACCCAGAGCTTTGCATATGTTAAACACATGTTCTACTTCTATTGGTAAGTTACACCCTTTAGCCAGCTATTTTTTTTAAGACAGGGTCTCGCTATGTAGTTCAGACTGGCCTTGAACTCACTATGTAGCCCAGGCTGGCTTCAAACTACACAGCCATCCTCTTACTTCAGACTCCCAAGTGAGTGCTGGAATTACAGGTGTGTGCTATTATACCTGGCTATTATCCAGCCATTTTAAGTTGAAACTCTTTAACTCTTGTTAGGGAATGGAAAAAGAAGTATCATGATTATAATATTTTCTAATTTCCAGACTATTTTCCCTTTTTTGTGTGACTCATGAGCTTGTTATTACTAGAGAAAAATAGAAAAATATGTCCCTGAAGCAGTCTTTTTTTTCAGGTTGAAATCAGCTCGAGATGTTGTATCAAGGACTGGTCATTCATTGGCTCTTGGTTGTTTGCATCGTTATGTTGGTGGTATAGGCTCAGGACAACATCTGAAGACCAGTGTTAGCATCTTATTAGCTCTTGCACAAGATGGAACATCCCCTGAAGTACAGGTATAATAGTATTTTTTTTTCCTGGTACTAGCGATTGAACCTGAGGCTTTCTCACTGAACTGCATCCCCAACCCTTTTTGAGAGAGGATTTCCTGAAGTCAGTAAGTTGCCCAGACAGCTCAGACGTATGCTCCTTCTGCCACAGTCTCCTAGAGCACTGGGATTACAGGTGTACACCACCACACCCAGCTCTATTTTTTAATTACATATTTTAAAATAATGTTCTTAGGAAGATTATGTGCTCTGTTAAATAATGATGAATCTGGGAGCTAGGCTGTGGCTCAGTGGTGGAGCACTTGCCTAGCAAGTTCTAGCCCCTGGGTTCAATTCCTGAGCACCACAAATAATGATGACTATGATAAGTTAGGAAAAAAATGTTACAATATGTTCTTTCCCCATTCTTTTGTTTTAGGAGTCTTATTTGTAATAGTATAAATAAGATTTTGCTTTTCAGTGTAAGTCTGCTTTATTCTGAAAATTAAACCCATTCACATATACTCTTTCAGACATTTTTTGTTACTTGTTTCTCCTTTTTTGCACTTTCTTATATTAGATTGATCACTTTTTTGGGTTTTTTTTTCTAATTATGGTCCTTCTCTCTCTTTCTCTATTACAGTGATGGCAAATGTTTTAGAGCTTCCAGTAATATAAACAGCCCACTGTGGCATACACACCATAGGTTCACCAGCACTGCTCTATTATGTCAGCCTACTTCCTGTAACATTGATTGAATCTTCAGATTTACTCCTTAAATTTTTTTTTTTTGCTTCTTGAACGTTTTATACGTACATAAATATGTATAAGTGACAATGAGGATCAAGAGTATTTGTGAAAATATCCAATCTTGATTTGCCATTTCACATCAGTATGCCTAAAAATATTGATTATATGCATGTAACATTTCAGTATACTCTTAATTATTCTGCACAACAAAAATAAGGTTCTGTTTTATTCTAGACTTGGTCTCTTCATTCACTTGCTTTAATAGTGGATTCTAGTGGGCCAATGTATCGTGGATATGTGGAACCAACGTTATCTCTAGTTCTGACCTTGCTGTTGACAGTTCCACCTTCACATACAGAAGTTCATCAGTGTTTGGGTAGATGCTTGGGTGCTATAATAACTACTGTTGGCCCCGAACTACAAGGTAAGTAAATTCCTTAACATAATTGCTATCTTTCAATTTCCTAAATGTTGCCATCATGTTGCTTGAACAAATTTTATAATAATAACTACTATCTACTGAATGTTTTCCAGAGGCCTGACAGTCAAATTTTTATGTGTGATTTTTCAAAAATCCCTGAAAAAACCCCCCAAAAACACAAACCTATAATGTGACAGTATTTTTTAAGGCTTTGAGCAAGAAAAACATTTTTAAAAGAATTTCTTAAGTCAGTGAGTTATTGTGATAATAGCCACTATTATGTGTCGCTAATGATTATTGTGAATGTATCCATATATGTGCCCCTTTCCTCTCTGTCATTCAGTAAATGTTATCAGTGAGTCATGTTTTTTATTTGTGTTTAACTCATTTAATTCTTACAACAATTCAGAGATACTGTAGATATTATCTCCATTTTAGAGATGAAACAGGTTGAAAGAGGTTACTGAATTTTCCAAGCTCCACACACACACGTACATGATTCTTGGTTTGGTCTTATGTATATAAAATTATTTTACATTAGAAAAAATTTGAAGTCTCATATTTGGCAATTAAATTATCATGTAGCCACCATGTAACATTATAATATACTTTTCCTGATTATCTTTGTAAAAATAGTCTTTAATCCTATTAGGAAAATAGGATATAAAGTTGCTGTGTTATACAATAAAGGATAATATTGGTTGAACAGAGAACCAGAGAATGAGAAGTCTTCTGGCTCTTGAAGTAAAACAGTGGTGGCTGTAAAAGATCGTATAAATATAGCTAAATTTAAGAGTGATGCATTATTGCCATCCAAAGGCAGTTATAATTTGAAATCATTTCTGTGGATGTTTTGTTTTTGAAACAATCTGAATACTAATTATAAGGAGTTACATAGAAGATAATCATTTTTATGAATTTTTTTTTGATACTAATAAAAACATTGTATTTTACCCTTTTTTTTCATTTTGCTCCTAGGGAATGGAGCGACAATTTCTACAATTCGTTCCTCTTGTTTGGTGGGCTGTGCAATCACCCAGGACCATTCAGATTCCCTTGTTCAGGCAGCTGCTATATCTTGCCTTCAGCAGCTTCACATGTTCGCACCTCGACATGTCAACCTCTCTAGTCTTGTTCCTAGCCTTTGTGTAAGTATAAAGCTGTTTCCCTCATAGTTTTATTTTGGGACCCACTACATTTCTTTCCTAAAAGATCACATTGGACCAAAACAAAAAATACAAGTGTTCTGCATTGTGAATTCTAAATTTGCACCTTCGACAGTTATTTTATGGCCATTTTATTCTTTTTTTGTCTTTTAAGAATGATGAACTATTTATTTCTTGGCTGAGAATGTCATGTGCAGTCTTTCCCTCTCAGAATTTTTTCTTTTTCTATCTATCTGAATAAAAGATGATTTATTTGAAAGTGAGGGAAAGGAGAGAGACATGGCAGATAGCTGCTCTGGACGAGAAGGGAGTATTTGAAAGTGAAATACTTGTGGATTTCTTGTCCAACAGCTCCTTTTATTGAGATTCTTGTCCCATGTAGGCTCCCTGGCTTGTCTTTCATCTTCAGCACTTTTATGGAGAAACACTCATTTTCTTACAGGCTCAACTTGAGAGTTTCAGTTGTTGGAAAGGAGAAGAAGTCTGAAATCTTTTAGGGTTTCTCCTTCTCTCAATCTTCAGCAGAAACATGCCTCCAAAAACAAGGAAAGTACAAAGTGACAGGAAAAGGTTAGGATAAAAGATCAGCAAGAAGGAAGTTTTTTGCTCAGCACTGGAGAATCAAACCAGAAAGGAAACTGAGGCAGTGCAGGCTCCACATTCCCTTCTAGAGTGTGTGTGGGGAGTCCCAATGAAACCTGTCCTCTAGATCAGGTGGCTACTGACACTAATTGTCTTCTAACTGGCAGTTGAAGTCCTGTGAATCATTAATAGGCATTTATATTTTCTAGATATAAATTGGATTTTATTTTTAAAAATCCATTTTACAATATTTTACAAATTCATTTTGGGGGGTATCTGCATCCCCTAGGGGGCGCTCTAACATTCCTTTTCCTTTTCGCACCATTGCAGATGGAGCTGTGTTGCACTCCGTCTCTTCCTTACTCTGATTTATGGGGCCAACTGTGTGAGCTTGAGCCCAGGTACCCAAATCTCACACCAATTACTAACCCTATCAGACTGCCTTTTTGATGTTTGTCCTTCAAGGACCTGTAGAAGTTTGGTTTGGCGACTGGGTGCTGCTGTTCTGCTCTCCCAGCCACTGGGACTGTAAAAACTCAGCCCAATGAAAAATTAGATGAAGTTTTACCTTCCTGGCCGATGTACCAGTTAATGTAACATCTGGGAAGTGATGTGCACCATGCCATGGCACTGCTGGAGCATGCGGCTCCCTGCAATCCTAAACCTGGCGTCAGTAAAGAGCTAAAGAAGCAGAGTTTAAAATAAAAGAGAATGATTTATTTGAAGGTGAGGGAAGGAGGAAGAGAGACATGGCAGACAGCTACTCTGGACGAGTAGGGAGTATTCAAAAGTTAAATACTCCAGAATTTTGTTTCTTAAAGTTTGACTGATGAGTTGTAACAGTCTGTGGCTGTCATTGAAACCAGCCATTTATTCAACAGATATTTACAGATAAGGTGTTAGATGTCAGGTATCAGGCAGAGTACTGGAGGTACATTTGTGAGTGAGATAAGAGCAAGCCTCTGTCATAACGAAGTGTTTAGTTTACAAGGAAAATGGACTACAAGAATATACAAATGATTTACATTTACAAATGATACAGGAGCTAGAAGAGGTCACAGGAGAATATAAGACAGTGTATAACGTGGGGCCTGTCACGATTCAGAAATGATTTTCCTGAAAGAATGATATTTAGAATATAATTTACAGGATGAATAAGAGTTAATTTGCGGAACAGCATGGAATTGGAGTAGACAACATTTATATTTAGTTTGAGGGGAAAACATGTAGAAGGACCCCAGATGAGTGTGATACATTGAAGGAACCAATTAGTGTGATTAAGGATGAGAGCTAAGAGGGAAATGTGGTACAGTAGGGTGCAAGAGGAAGCTCGATAGTTAGCTAAAGCTTTCTAATTTTAGAGTGTTGGAAAAATTTTAAAATGTCTTTAATTTTAGGAAGAAAAATAAATGCAAGATTTTATTGATAAAATATTGCTCAGATTTTCTCCCTTCAGTTATATTTTATTTTTCCTGATACCTGGTTTAAACTTCATGGCCTGTGATTTTTATGCAGTCATTTCTTGAATTACAATTGTTATGTTAATAGCATAAAAATACACTAGCACTGTGAAGGGGTGATGTTTTCCTCCACTGCTATCATTATGGCTGGGATTCTAAAATATATTCATTCAAAACATGGCACATAATTTTTCTTGATGAGTCAAATTTATATTTTATTTATTTATTTATTTTTGGTACTAGGGATCGCACTCGGAACCTTGTGCTTGCGAGGCAGGCACCGGAACCACTGAGCTAAATCCCTGGTCCTTAAATTTATAATAATAATAACTAATATTTATTGAGCGATTACCATGTGCCAGCCACTGTTATTACTTGTGTTAACTCTTATTTTCACTATATTCCTGTGAGGAATTACTATTCTCATTTTACATTTGAACAAATCAGTGCTTAGAGAGACTAAGTAAAATACCTAAGACACACAGGAGTTAGTGAACAGAGGCGATTCAAACCCAGCCTGGCATCGAGCCTGAGTTTTTAACTGTTTTGCTATCCTGTTTAAGTTTTATTTTTTCTTTTAGAGTGTACTACATTGATCCTTTCAGGAACATTTCAGATGAAAAAAAAATTCTGTAAGAAAAGTCCCATTTTGCATTTCTTTTCAGATGTTTATGTTTGCTTCATTTTGTTTTTCATTTTAATACATACTTTACTTTTTGCTTTAAATTTCTACCACATACTCAGCTGTTTAACTCGTCATTCAGTATATTTGTTTCCATCCACTTAAAAAATTTAGATGACAAAGTTCAGTAGGACCATATGTAAAATAAGATGTGCATAAAAAAGATCTTTTTGTATTTTCATCTGTCTATATGGTATCAGTTTTAGTGCATAGATCTTGGCACAGTTATTTTGCCTACTAACATTTTTTGTATCTTATTAAGCCTTCATATTCATTAAGCAAGCAAGATTAAAGAATTACAGCTTAAAAACTGCCTGAAATTGTTACGCTTTACAGGTTCATTTATGTAGTTCCCACTTGTTACTTCGACGAGCAGCTGTGGCATGTCTCCGACAGCTTGCACAGCGAGAAGCTGCTGAAGTGTGTGAATATGCCATGAGCCTGGCAAAAAATGCAGGAGACAAAGAGAGCAGTGGCGCCAGTAAGTTCTTTCACTGGTCAACTTTCTGTTTTGTTTAAATACTTTCACATTTTGAACATCTCAGAATAATCAGTTTTAACAACTGGAGTTTTACCCTTATTGTCAGATTAAATTCTAATCCTAAAGATATATAACCTAGAGATCATAATTAATTGTAGCTGATTTTGTTGCTATTGTGAATTTATTTGTAAGACCTATCTTTTACATGATTGTTACCTGTAGCATACAACAAACTACCATTGAAATTCGTTTGTAAAATTACTTTTCAGATGTCAATCCTTTTGCACCTGGGGTTAGTTCTCGAAGTGATATTCATTACAGACATCAAGGTGTTAACATAACAGAAACCGGTCTTGAGGGACTTCTTTTTGGAATGCTAGATCGTGAGACAGATCGAAAATTATGTTCTGATATTCATGACACGTTGGGCCATATGCTTTCATCACTGGCAGTGGAAAAACTTTCCCATTGGCTAATGCTTTGCAAAGATGTCCTGGCAGCATCTAGTGGTATGTATTTATGCTCTTAAAATAATGAAAACCATTTTACTTTTGAGTTATAGATGTAAATATATAGCTATGCAAATGTACATTTATATAAATTTGAGTTTACATTTTAAAGTATTGATGATTTTTCATCTTTATACAGTAAATCCTGTAAAAAATATTGAAGGTCAAATTATGGAATAAACTAATAAACTTCCTATATCATTTAGAAAAAGTATTTTGAAATATTTTGAAAGTTCAAACTAAATTTTGATATCTAAAAATCCCAGGCTACTCTGTAGTACAATATAGTATATAAAACTATTGGGCTATGCAAATGTAGTTTACGTGAAAGTAATTTATGTTATCCTTCCCTTGACTCTTGATTGTTTAAAAGAAAAACTTGGCAGTTCTGTTTTCCACAGAGTGAGAATTAATGCTATTTTTAAAGCATAATTTTACTTATTATAGGAATAATATTCCTAATTTTTGTTATAGATATGAGTACTACAACTCCCCTAAGTGGTGGAAAAGATGAAGAATCTGAGAAGAAAGATGAGATGGATGATGATACCATGTTTACCACCCTAGGCGAGGAAGATAAGTCAAAGCCTTTTGTGGCGCCTCGCTGGGCCACCCGAGTATTTGCTGCTGATTGCCTGTGCCGCATCATCAATTTGTGTGAGAATGCAGACCAGGCTCACTTTGATCTTGCCATGGCACGTTCTGCTAAACTACGAAACCCCAAAAGTAAATTTCAATCAGTACTTTTTTACCCCAAAATATTTTTATAGGTTTGAGATATTTTAATGCTGTACGTCATGCTTAATCTGTTCTAATTTATTGTAAGCTGCCTTGTCTTTTACCTTAATTTCTGTCCCCTTAGATACTATCCATTGTATTTGGAAGAAAAATTGAAGAAGGTGATCCAAAGACAAATAATCTGTAGACAGAGAGAAAGATCTGTCTCTATATATTTGAATCATTTGCCCTAAGTTTGATGATGGAAATTATTTATATTTCTTCAGTACATTGCCTTAGTTTGGTAATTTTTTGTAAAAGAAATGGTAAAACTTTAAGATATGTAAATAAAATGAACTTCTGCAGTTTCCAGTTGTGGAGATTGAGAATTCATGAATGGCATAGCAGATATCAACCTCTCAGATTTCAGAAATCCTATTAGATATTTTTGAAAAGATGAAATTTTTTTATTATTGAAACCAGTCACTGATTGTTATCTTTTGCAAACTTTTTATATCACATATCCTCTGAATAAGATATGCAGTGGAATTTACAAAAAGATCATCAAGTCCAATAAAGACTTTCATTTTACATTAAGGAGACCCACAGAAGCTGAGAGAAGTAATCTAGTGAGAGACTCCTTATCCAGTACTTGATTGTCTCTCTGTCACCCTTCAGGTATTTCTTAAATATCTGAAGACAAATTATATGTATTGGCAACACTGAGGTCTGTAAGTTCAAAATGCCATTCATATTTATTTTACTGTATATAAAAAGCAGCAGAGCTCATAAATTAATTTTAAAAACATGCAAGTAAAGTAGTAGTATGCAGCAGCTAAAATGTGAATCAGGGTACTAGCAAAGCAGAGTAGATCATGAATACAATGTCTTTATTCATTGTCATTATTTAGCAAATATTTATTGAATCCTTTGCTATACATTGCAGATACAGAAAGAAAGAATACAGTCTATACCCTGGAACAGCTTTTAGTCTAGGAGATAAGACAGGCAGATTTATGAGTTGAATGATTAGAGTATGTCTCACTAGTGGTGTAATATTTTGAGAGCATTTTAAAAATAGTATTCCTTTCCTAAGGAGCCATGGAAAACCTTGCAGAAGAGGTTATTTTGAAGCTGGGTGTTTTTTTTTTTTTTTTTTTTGAGACAAGTTCTTGCTACCTAGTTCAGGCTGACCTTGAACTCACTGTGTAATCCAGGCTGGCCTCAAACTTGTGGCAATTCCCTTGCCTCAGCCTCCTGAGTGCTGGAATTACATACTTGCCACCATAACTGACATGAAGATGAATTTTAAACACAGAAAAAGGTTTCTGGGTTGAAGAGATTCATTTTATCAGTTTTTCTATTGTTGCTGTAACAAGTGACCATATGTTTCTATTCAGGATAACACAGTTGCCAGGCGTGGTAGTACACACCTGTTATCCCAGCAGTTGGGAGACTGAGGCAGGAAGATCGCTGAGAGGCCAGCCTGGGCTACGTAGTGAGTTCAACGCCAGCCTGAATTACAAAGTGAGACCCTGCCTCACAACAACAACAACCCCCCCCCAAAAAATAATAACAGGTTTATTACCCTGTAGCTCTTTAAATTCGATGTCCAACATGGACTAGACTCAAGTTGGGCTAGAATAAAATTGTCAGTTGATCTGTGTTCATGTCTGGAGTTTTTTGAGCAACTAATTTCCTTTCTTTCCCAGCCTTTATATACTACCTGCATTCCTTGGCTTGTGGCTCCCTTTCTCTGTGTGTTACAGCCAGCAGTGTTTCTGTGTGATGCCTCTTCACTCATCACAGTTCTTTCTTTAACTTCAGCCAGAAAAGGTGCTTTTTTTGGTTAATTTTTGCTTTTTCCCTGTGATTCTGGGGTTAGAGCTTCGGGCCTCACACATGCTGAGCAAGTGCTGCACCACAGGGATATGGCCCAACCCAAATGCTCTGCTTTAAAGGACTCATATGGTTAGACTGGGCGCAAGTGGGTAATTTAACACACTCCCCGTGTCAGGGTCTGTAACCTTAATCCCCTCTGGGAAGTCCCTTTTTCCATGAAAAGAGACAAATCCACAGGGTAGGGAGTAGCATATGGACATCTTTGGACAACATTGTGCTCACCATACTGATTTATTATAAGCAGAGGGAATAAGAGAATGCATATTGTCCAGATCATAAATGCGCTACCAATAAGGAATGGAGACAAGCCTTAGGATGGCTTTATTTAGTTCTTAACTGTTTTCATTTCTCATTGTTGCGTCTTCTTGTCCTTTTATGTGATGTCTTAGAGATCTTCACAATCTTTCCATTTACACATTGGTAGTGTTTTATTCTTTTCTGCTTCCATTGTGGATCTTGAGTCTGCTGGTATGCTTTCTGTGTTCCTGTAATTTTTATGCATATTTTCCCATGTCCATTATATCATATCCATTTTACACTTAAAAGTTTTCTGTTTTTATTCCTTAGTAACAATGGTGTTTTACATTCTGTTGATACCAAATAGTTTTGTAAACTTTGTTCTGGTTTGTATAGAAAATTGTTTCCAGAGTTTAGTACTTTCTCTGAATCTTTAGGATCTGTCTTTTCTCTGGTTATGTTTTCTTCATAGGCTTACTTGTTAATGCATCCTCAAAAGAGGAGATACCCTCCGAGGTTGGAATTTGCTCACAGTGTGGTACTGTATGGAGGTGGATTGCCATGTTCTCTGTCTTTGCTTACTGGGTACTTTATAGCTATAGCCAGATGGTTAGCTGACCCTATAGCTCCCCACCTAGATTCTGGTGTTGGGTGTGCTTTCTTCTGTGGGACCAAAACAGGATCCATTCTAATTCTGAACAATCATAGCAGAGTCTGTAAAAAAGTATTGGCCCAGTGCATGTGCTCTCCAGGCTCTTTCCATAGCTTCCTTCTCGCCATCTTCCTATCTACTGCACATTAGCTATAGGGAATTACTACTTCATAAATGTAATAAACGTCTGCCAGCCCCCTTATTCTTTCCCTGTTTCTGATCTTCTTCCCAGTCCTTCTTCCTGTTCCCACCCTTCAAGAGTTCATCTTCTTAGATTTGAGAAAGAAGATGTGTCTATTTGAGGAAGTTTGGAGGTAGAGAAAATAGTTGGGGAAAGCAGCTCTCTCATTCAAAGGACAATTACTTAGTTTTTGATAATCCTAGACTTTGTGAATTAGGTGACAGAGAATACAGGAGAAATAGTACATCTTTTTTTTGTGGTACCTGGGCTTGAACTCAGGACCTTGTACTTGCGAGGCAGGCGGCAGAACCACTGAGCTAAATCCCTGGCCCAAAAATACATCTTTTTATTTACTGTAGGTTGGCATAATATGAGTAGGCCCATTTTAATCCATTTCTTGGGCCTGGGATTTAGCTCAGTGGCACCTGTGCCTGCCTCAAAAGCTCAAGGTCCTGAGTTTGATCCCTGGTACCACCAAAAAAAAGATTACAGTCTTTAATCCATTTCTTTCTGCCTTGGAAATTTTCTCGCAAATTCTGGCAGCAGTTTGATATACTTTTTTTAAAATTTGTTATGTGTTTTTTCTTCTCTTTGCTAAGGAACCATTGTAGGCTTCTAGCCAGATGTTTTCCTCTCTTCTCTTGCTGCCCACCCCCAAACCAACATACACTTTTTAAAAATGTAGTATTCTAAAATTGATTTTTTAGGTAGGCACCTGAAAAAATTTAAAGATACATGTCTTCTAATCTTTGCAACAATAACAACAAAAACCTATTTAAATAGTAGCTGATTAGAGATCAGATTAAGACACAGAATTACCTCTGCTTTAAAATGACTGAGAGGGCTGAGGATATAGCTTAGCGGTAGAGCACTTATCTAGTATGCATGAGGCCCAGGGTTTGATCCCCAGTACAATAAAGGAAGGAAGGAAGGAAGGAAGGACAGATGAACAAATGGAAGATTTTTAGAGTCTTATTGCTTCCAGGAGAACTTAGAGTGCTTAAACTTGATAAATTCTTTTTAATTTTTATTTTTATTGATACATGTTGGCAATACATAATGATTATGTTCCTTGAAAGCTGTTACATGTACATAACACTGATAAATTCTTTAGATGGCTGTTGTTGCTGTATATTTTAAGTTCACAGATCTTTGTATCTATCTAATCTCTTAATCTTATCTATTTTTCATTTGAATCATTCTCTCTTCATCATGTTTATGCTCTTCTTTTCTTTTTTGAGCATAGAAAACATATTTATAGTAGATGTTTTAAAGTCCCTGTCTGATAATTATGTTACCGGTTTCATTTTCAGTCCTGTTTCTGCTTATTGACTGTTTCTGTCTGTCTCTCTTTCTGAGACATATTTCCCTACATTTTTGCATCCTTGATAATGTTTTATTAGATGTCAGACATTGCAAATTTTATATTAGTGCTGGATTTTGCTGTGTTTCTTTAAATGGTATTGTACTTTGTTCTGGGATGTAGTTTAAAAGTCTTTTCCTGACTACAAATTTTTATTTTATTTTTCCAGGGGTAGGCAGGTATCCTGAAGTCCAAATTCACCCATTGCCCGTTTTGTAAATAAAGTTTTATTGGAGAACACATATTCATTTCTGTACATATTGTCAATGGCTGCTTTTTTACTGTTAAGAACAGAATTGAGAAGATGTGATAAAGATGATATTATCTGTAAAGCTAAAAATATTTACTACCTGGTCCTTTACAGTAAAAGTCTTCTAAACCTTGCTCTCAAAGAATTATGAATTCATTTGGGAAAGTCATGCTAATCAAGTATTTTTCTTCTGATGTCATTGTAAATCCAGTAGTCACCTCTGTTAACATACTGTGTAAAAGCTTACTGCTCACAGGTGTGTCCAACCTGCAGCCTGCCCTTTTTTTTTGAGTGAGTGGGTGAGTGAGTGAGGATGAATTGTCTTGGGCCACATATAAAATATATAATATAGGGGCCAGGGATTTAGCTCTGTGGTTCTGCCGCCTGCCCCGCAAGCTCAAGGACCCGAGTTCGATCCCTGGTACCAAAAAACTAAAAATAAAATAAAATATATAATATAGTTAATGCATATAAACAGCAAAACTTTATTTTTAAAATTTTTATTGTGACATTGAGAAAAGGGAAAAAAGGCAGGCTGCAGGTCAGACACACATGAATGGGAGTTTACTAAAAGAGTATCTTTGTTTTTTTAGAAAACATCATATGGGTCATAAGTGCTTTTATCAGAAATGTATTTTATATTTTTATGTTGTAACACTAATTTTTGGAAAAGCTTTCCCTTTTGCCTTCTATTTTTATTTTCAGATGACCTCTTAGTACTTCATCTCTCTGACCTGATTCGTATGGCATTTATGGCTGCAACTGATCATAGCAACCAGCTGCGGATGGCTGGGCTCCAGGCTCTTGAAGACATCATCAAGAAATTTGCATCTGTGCCTGAGCCAGAATTTCCAGGTCATGTGATTCTGGAGCAGTATCAAGCTAATGTGAGCTTTTCTATTTTCTTAGAAACTTAAAATCGATCTTTTGAGGGATCATTAAAGGAGTGAGGACTCTGGAGGAATGTATTTGGAACTGTAATTTATTTTTCCGTGTGGGATGCATGTCTTTACTTCCATAGTCTGTTTAATAGTTTCAGTCAGCCCACAACTGAAGAAGTAATGGTGTCAAGCTATTGTCACTATTTTTAAGTCTTGATAACATATCAGTGGTAAAACTAGAATAGAAATTCCAGCCTTTTCCAGTCTTGTGTTTAGATGTTTAGCCATGCCTTTTAAAAGATAAAAGGAACTTTCAGAGGAGTGTTCTCTGATTTGCTGCCACTATTTTTATGTGCCACGACTTGATAAGCAGTTTTAGAAATAAAAAGCAGTGTCTTATATGCTGCAGAATAAGTTCACCCTTAATAACAGCAGCTGAAAGCATTACTGAAAGAATTGGGAACTTTTGAAGGATTGTTATTTCATTCTAAACAGAGATAAACTTTTTTTCCCTGAGATTTATACCCTTGTTTATCAGAGGAGGCACAATAAACTCATTCTAGCAATGGGGTGTGTGTGAAGGTTAAAAAATATTACATTAGCAAGTAAAGTAGAAACATCTTTTTAATGTCATTGTGCTAAAATGGTAGTGGTGAACCTGTGCCATGCATGTTGCTTTTCTTTTTCTTTTTCTTTTTTTTTTGAGACAGGGTCTCACTATATAATTCAGGCTGACCTTGAACTCACTATGTAGCTCAGACAGGTCCCGAACTCCCCCTAATCCTTCTGCCTCAGCCTCCCATATGCTGAGATTACAGGCATGAGCTACCACACCTGGTCTGTTTTTCTTTTAAGACAAAAGAGGGTAATGTCTGAGTTGTTTTTTTCCAAACTAAAACCTCAGGATTCAGGTTTAATTTCAGTGCTGGCACTGCAATAAGTGAGTTTTGGGTTGCAATTTGGGCAAGCATCTCTAAAAGGTTCTCCATTCCTGTGCTAAAATACTGTTTCCAGGTGCACCATACCAAAAGTTGTGTAAATATACACAAAATTAAACATGTGAATAATGTATAATCCACTGACTCTAATGGCTGTTGAAAACCTTTATATAATTGTTTTACTCCCGTGCAGAAGGGTGTGTAAAAAAAACTTATGTAGAAATAATTGTCAGATTTACAGAAAAATTGCATAATAATAAGCAAAAAAATATTTCATGCCTGTTACTCATGTTTACCCACTGTTAATTTTTTTGTTTTTGTTTGTTTGCTTTTGGTACCGGTGGTGATCGAACTCGGGACCTTTCCCTTGTGTGGCAGGTGCCAGAACCACTGAACTAAATCCCCAGACCTACCCATTGTTAATTTTGACTCATTTGTTCAAATATTCTCTTTCTCTCTCTATCCCCACTATTCTGTTTTTCTTTTCTCCGCCCCATCCCCCCCCCCCATATTGGAGCTTGAACTCAGGACCTTGTGCTTTTGAGGCAAGAGTGCCACCACTGAGCTAAATCTCCAGCCCCTCTATTTTTCTATATAGATATTTACACACAATTTTTTCCTAAGCCACTTGAAATTAAATTATTTTAAATTGTGTACTTCCCCCTGATCACTTTGGTCTGTATTTTCAAAGAATAAGGACATTGTTTTAATATAACCATAGAGCAATTATGAACCTCAGGAAATTCAACATTGACCAATTACTTGTTGCCTATAACCTATCATATTCCAGTTGTCAGTGGCCCCAGTAAATTCTTTTATAGTATCCTGTCTCCTTCAGTGCAGGATCCTGTACTGCTCACATGTGCTTGGTTGCTGTGTGTGATTAGCCATACAGAAGGACTCTTGATCCATTTCCAAAGGACTGCTGATACAACTTAGAGACCTGATCTCTATGATAAGGGAAGAAATATCAACCCATGAGTTACTGAACTGTTCTGCATTCTGATATGTCTTAAGAATCTGTGATTTGGTGTTTTTAAGACTAAAGCACATACATACTCCTTTATTAATGTAATAACTATACAAATTAATATTTTAGAACAACCCTTTCAAGCACCTATTTTTGAGGTGACATGATCTCTGAGGTCTTTTAGTAATTGAATGTTAGTACTACTCAGTCAATTAATTAATTTATTTATTTTTGACTTTTTGAGGCAGTGTCTCCTTTTGTAGTTCAGGCTGGCCCTGAACTCACTATGTAGCCCAGGCTGGCCCTGAACTCGTGGTGATCCGCCTCAGCCTCCCAAGTGCTGGATTACAGGCATGCACCAACTCAGTTTGTTTGTTTGTTTATTTATTTATTTTTAGTACCAGGGATCAAACTCAGGATCTTGCTCTTACAAGGCAGGCGGTGGCACCACTGAGCTAAATCCCCAGCCCCAACTCAGTTAATTTAATGAAATTGATCCAGTTATATGAGACTCACCCATGAGGTTAAAAAAAAAAATAGCAGCTTTTTTTGTTATCTCTGATAATATGCCACTGTCAGAAAGTCCTGTTTGTTTGTTTTAAAATTTTATTTATTCATTTATTTTTGGTACCAGGGATTGAACTTGGCACCTTGTGCTTGTGAGGCAGGCAGCGGAACCACTGAGCTAAATCCCTGGCCTATTTATTTTTATTTTTTGGTACCGGGGATCAAACTCAGAACCTTGTGCTTGCCAGACAGATGTGCTAGACAGGCTCCACTGAGCTAAATGCCCAGCCCAATCCTGTTTATTATTTTTTTATTTTTTAATTTTTTTCCCCATTAACTTTATTGGTACATTTTAGGTATAAAATACAGTTACATTCATCATTGGGATCTTGTACCTTTACATGAGTCTCTTGGTTCTTATGTTTTCCCCCTTCCCTTGCCCTCCCTTCACCCCCTCCACCCTTCCCTATTTGCAAAGTCTTTGTTTCCATGTTTTCCCTTTTCTCATATTTTTTCTTTTCCTTTCTTTCCTTTCCACTACCCCTGCCACTTCTCCTGCTCCTTTAGACATTTACTTCCTATTACACAATATCAATTATACATTTTTTAAATTACAATATCAAGATCTAGGAGACATTACCACAGATTTTACAGAATTTAAAAGGATATAGAAAGCATATTACAAAAATCTTTTTTGAAATAAATTTGACAACTTCTAAGAAGTACCTTGGAAGACAAATTAATGAAACTAACTCCGGAGGAAATATAAAATTTAAATAGCACCTATTAAAGAAAGAATATTCCTAGCTTGAAAACCTACCTATATGACAACAGCAGCCTCATATACATTTTAACTGATAAATTATATCAAGCATTTAAAGCAGAAGAAGGAACACTTCTCCCCTCATTTTAGGAACTCAACATTGTGCTAATCCTAAAACTGGATAAAGATAATAGAAGAAAAAAGTATGAACATAGATAGAAATTTGTTTAACAAAACAAACTATTAGAAGACAGATCTGGCAGGATGTAGAAAGTGGTTTTGTTACAGGGATGGCAGTGTTGGTTCAGCATTGGAAGATCCACCCCCACAAGTCATCATTTAAACAGAGGAAAGGAAAAAGCCATATGATCCTGTCACTAGTTAATCCTGTTTATTATTAAAAACAAAAGAAAAAGAAATGATTAATTGCCTGAATGATGTAGCATTCTTATACATTTGATAATGATAACCTCCTGGAAAGCAAAGAAAAATGGTATGGTTGAGTTTATTAAAATTGGATAGATAAGAGAAAGGTGATACAAAGCAAAGGAACGGAGATATGTTTTGTGTGTTTTCATCTCCAAAGACACAAAAGGGTTTATGTTTATTCCTTATCTGTAAAATTCAAGTGCTTTATTCATTTTTCTAGGTGGGAGCTGCTCTAAGACCAGCCTTCTCACAAGATACACCATCAGATATAATAGCAAAGGCTTGCCAGGTAAGAAGAAAAATTAGGCTTTCTAAAGTTGTCTTCTGTAAATTCATACAATTTAGAATTTCACTTTAAGAAAGGGGAAGAGTCAAATCATTTTTATTTTTATCCTGGAAATACAATAGTGGCAGTTTCCTCTTTGATTCTGTATGAATTGATGAAATAGTAGCTGTTAATTATATCCCTTGTCATAACTAAAGACATAACTCTGAGATACATAGTTCTTTTTTTTTTTTTTTGAGATACATAGTTCTTATGTGATCCAAAAATGAATAGACAATGCAAATCATAAGAGGGACAAAAATGAAAGATAACCAAGTCTGTAGTTAATACCTAAAGAATAATAATGATAATTTAGATAATAAAACATTATTGTAAACACAGGTTATGAAAATTCTTCAAGTTTTGGGTTTTAAATTATCCTAAAAAGAATCTTAGATGCAGAAATTTAACTGCAAAATGAATCCCAGGGCATTATTCTCATTTTATTTTCAGAGAAACTACCCAAAACACTTGTTCCTATATATATATATTTTTTTGTACCAGGGATCGTACTCGGGACCTTGCGCTTGCCAGCCAGGCACCGGGACCATTGAGCTAAATCCCCGGCAGTTCCTACATTTTTAATAAAGTCCTTTTTCATATGTCTCATCTTGAAGGATTCATGCATTGAAATCTAATCTTTCAGAAAACCAAATTCTTTCCCTGTAGTCCATCATTTTTGCTTAGAATTCACCTCTTAAGCTTTATGCAGCCTTTATACAGCTAGGGATTTGCTCTCTGCAGTGATAGCCTTGAAATCCTGACTCTTCTCTCTGGCTGAATGGGTTTTCTGCTTCTTTCCATTGTATTTCTGTGAAGCCTGCTGCCCTAATGGTGGCCTTCAGAAAAATTAAGTCTTTCTACCAGCAGCAGACCAGAGAGATAAGAGAGCCCACTGTTATTAGGCGTAGGTCTCTGGACTAAGGTACAAATGTTGAGGTTGGAGTAGATAATCTGGTTTGGGATACTGATGCAAAACATCAAAAAGTCATTTATTCCTGGTCATAGTAGTGCACCTGGAATCCCAGCACTCAGGAGGTTGAGGCAGGAGGATCAATAGTTCTTGGCCAGCCTGGCAGCTAGGACTACATAGTGAGACCCTGTCTCAAAAGACCAAAAAAAAAAAAAAAATCAGTTATAAATAAATATATCATCATGATGTTTCACAGCATAGTATTTATTTATTCATTTATTTTATTTAGTTTTTTGAGACAGGGTCTCACTATGAGTTCAGGGTGGCCTTGAACTCAGTCCAGGCTGGCCTCAAACTTGTGGCAATCCTCCTGACTCAGCCTCCTGAGTTCTGGGATTACAGGCATGCACCACCATGCCTGGCCTCAGAGTATAGTATTTAAACAGACAAAACTTTCTGCTGAGCTCCTGAAAGTTAAAAAAGTAAAGGCTATTACAATTTCACCTTGTAAAGGAGAATATGACAATTTCCTCTCATTGAGTTTGCCTTAAATTTCTTTCTTTTATGGCTTAACTGCTTATTCTATAAGAAATGTCTTCTTTTCCAGTGGCAGGCTTAAATTTATAACCTCCTCTTCTGTTGTGGGAGGAGACCTAGTAGTTTTGAAATAGATGGGACAGTGGTTTGCAAGTTCTTGTCCTTAAGAGAAAGTATGGAGTTGGCTTACATGGTATCCCAGCTTGTTTGCTGGAGTAACAGCACCTTGCGTTACTCCAAGAGTAACTCAGAGATATTACAGAGAAAACCCTCAAAGTTAACACAATCAGGGACATTAATCAGAGGGTTAGTAAAAAAAAAATTTAAAAGCCAAGTGTGGTGGCACACACTTGTAATCCCAACATTTGAGAAGCTGAGGCAGGACAATCACTGTGAGTTTGAGGCCAGGCTAAACTACAGAGAGAGACCCTGTCTCCCAAACAAAAAGCAAAACAAAACTAAAATCATTTAAAGCAGGTTTAGAATCAAAAACATATTCATTTCAGTTCAAAATTTATAAATATACATTCATTTACCCGTCTTTTGTTGTGGGGCCAAGATCTTTTCTCTGAATATGATTTTGCTGAGTTAATGCTGCTTTGTCTTTGTAAGCCAAATCCATAATGCATTATCTGCTATTTCCAATTATTGGTTCTGTGAATTAGAGAAAGTACTTAGATTTTTGCAAGGAAAATAGAGTGCTAAATTCTCAGTCTTTATGATTTTCCCTGACTTTTAGTTGTTTTTCTACCAAATTTTACAGAACTGTTTCTCATATTTAATGTCTTCTAACTATAAATTTATTATATTTTTATCACTTTGACTGGCATTTTGATGTCTATATGTCCTTAATCGACAACTTTTTTTTTCCAGTACTGGGAATCAAACTCAGGACCTTGCACTTGCCAGGCAGGTGTGGCACCACTGAGCTACATCCCCAGCCCCTTGATAACAGTTTTAACAGTCCTTATTTTATTAAATTTAGTTTTGAATTCTTTGAAAATAAGATTTTAAGAGTAAATATTTATACCAGTATTCTTAACTTTTAAAAACTTAACACAAATCTATTAACTACGATGTGAAACTCAAATGCTCTAAAAGTGGAAAGTTTGTTTTATAATTAATTTGGGACCAAAACCTGAGCTGGCTCATACTCATTTGCCTTGATGTGAAGCTGAGTGAGATTTTAGCGATGGTCTCTGAGAGATTCATAAAGGTGTGCTGCAGAAGCGTCTATGGGTTGTGGGTGCTGCCACACGCCTGTCTAGGCGGAGCCCTTAGTGAGGTTCGTGGCCCTTGTACCTTTTACCCAGAAGTGGTGGATTGTGAAACACACCTTGGCCCAAGGACTTCAGACAAGAGAGTGAGGACTTGGGATTATTGTTGGTGAAGTTGGTACAGTCAGACCAGTCAGCTCTTCCTTCTTGAAATTCTCCTCTTGGCTCTATTATCATTTTACTTGCCAGGCTTTTCAGATGTTTTCTTTTCAGTTTCTCTGTGTTTGTTCTACCTATCCCTTAAGTACAATTTCCCCTGTGATCTGGCTTTAACGTTATTTTTTTAATCTATCGTTAAACAAATTTACCTAGTAATATTACTTTGGTTATCACCTTGTGTGGAAATTTCTAAGTTTATGTAGTTACCCTAAACGTCCTCCTGAATCCAGGCCTAAGTTTCCAGCTGCCTTCTGAATCATATTTTTTCACGAGGCTCTTAATGGCACTTGAGTTCAGCATGTAAACACATTTGGAATCCAAATCTCATCTCCACTAAACTTTCCTGTTTTCCTCCATTAGCTCTCTTAAACAGTGGTGTCTCCTTCTTTCCATTCATGCAAGTTAGAACTTTTATTTAATTTATTTATTTATTTATTTAGAGACAAGGTCTTGCTTTGTAGTTCAGGCTGGTCTTGAACTCACTGTATAGCCTGGGCTGGCTTTGAACTCACTGTGTATCCCAGGCTGGCCTCGAACTCATGGTGGTCCTCCTGCCTCAGCCTCCCGAGTGCTGGGATTATAGGCATGCACCACCTCACCTGGCTAAATTAGAAATTTTGACAATCAAAATCTGGCAATCTTTGATTGTTCTTTTTGCAGCTTTCTTCCCCCACCCCCTAAAAATATCTAATTAGTTTCCATATACTATGATTTCTACCTCCAGATTTCTCTCTGATGGCTCTCCATTTTCATTCCATCCCATTCCCAGTTAGGTCCATTTCATCTCTGTTACATAGTACTGTACTGTAATATTGTAACAACTGAGGAAGTACTTTATTTATTGTCTATGCAATACTGGAGCCATTTTCCTAAAGCACAGTTCTAGTAGTGACAAGCCCTCTCTGAAGCTGTGGAAACTCATGATTGTCTGCAGAATAAGTCTGAGTGCATTTCACGTGAAGCTTAAATTTTATCATCTATGATTTCAATTAGCTTTCCTAATTGCCATTTCTTCCTCAACACAAACTTTCCTGATATCTGAACATTCTCATTTTTCCTGTTAGAATTTATTACTTTCTTACCTGTTTTTTGGGGGGTTTTTTTTGGTACCGGGGATCGAACCTGTTTTTAAGGGCCATAACACATCATGTAATGCTCCTATATGTTCATTCAATTTGTGTTTTCTTACCTTAGGGTAAGGACTCAATATTTTTCCTTTTGCATTCATTCATTCATTCATTCATTCATTCATTTATTTATTTATTTAGGTACTGGAGATCGAATGCAGAACCTTGCACTTGCAAGGCAGGTGCAGAGCCACTGAGTTACATCCCGGCCCTTCCCTTTTGCTTTTTAACTCTTTCGTAGCATCTAGCATAACACTGCCTGTGGCAAGCAGAAATTTCATTGAATTGAAGACTTATTCAATGACTGAATTACTTTGTGTGGGAAATAATTTCTGTTAAAATTTTTTGTTCGGTGATGGAGACATGATAATCAGTAAATACTGTTTTTACATAGAATACAATAAAATCTATACCTGCTTTTTATTTGTTATAAAAACTAAAATATAGCATTCGATAATCTTTTTGTTTTGTTCCATGGTTTTGTTTTGTGAGTTTCCCTCAAGGAAAGAATCATTTTATTCCATTCTTTTAATGATAACTTTTTATACACAAAAACTTTTGAATTTTAATTGCCTAGGTATGCAGTACATGGATTGGAAGTGGAGTAGTCAGTGACCTCAATGATCTCCGCCGAGTCCACAATCTGCTTGTTTCTTCCCTGGACAAAGTTCAGGCTGGAAAAGGATCTTCCAGTCAGCTTTACCAAGAGAGCGCCACCACCATGGAGAAGCTGGCTGTTCTCAAAGCATGGGCAGAGGTAACCACGGCCTGTTGTTGCTGAGTCCCTTCTCTACCCATTAAAAGCTGGCCCTTGGTATGGAGTGCTTTTTGAAGATCTGTTGGTCAATCTTTTTAAAACTTCTGTATTAAAGAAGGGCTCTCCTTGTTTAATATGAGAGGGCAAGGAAAGCACAAAAATATAAACAGAAAATACTTTATGCTAAGAATCTCTCACTGTATTTGTTTAAATTTCAGCAGACTTGCCACCTTGATGTCTAGGCTGCCTTGGGTATTTATTGTTTTAATAGCTGGCTTTATCTCTTTCGTTCCTGCAACTCTGTGTGTGTGTGTGTGTGTGTGTGTGTGTGTTAATAAGTTTTGGGGTTTTTTTTTGTACTGGGGATCAAACTTGGGTCCTTGCGCTTGTGAGGCAGGTGACAAAACCACTGAGCTAAATCCCCGGCCCAATAAGATATTTTTTAATTCAATTTTTCTAAATTCCTTTTGTCGAATTCTTATCATCTCCCCCACAGTGTTTCAAATAACTTGATTCCTTCCTTTACCAGCCCAGCTCATTCTTACTTTCCTGTTTCCATGGCATCAGCAGGCTGTGACCCCCGAATAGGCAATTTCAGATTCAAAGCTTGCAGCAGCAAAGGAGGTACAGTTTAGATAAAGAACCACTGTGGTTTTGGGGGGTACGGAGGTCAGGTTTTTTTTCTGTCACACACAAAAATGGGAAATGTAGAACTCAATAAGATACCATGGAAATTAGTTTTCGCTCTGATTTTTAGACTGTAGATAAAACTGTCTTTCAAATAGAATATCTTTGGGGGTACCTTAGTTTTATTCTGACATTTTGGGTTTAGGTAAGTAAAATACTATTTTTTGCATATTGCTAAAAATGATCATTCTTACTGATAACATTTTAGTTTTTTTTCAAATTAATGCAAATCTCCAATTTTAGATGGAAAGTAGAATAAAAAGATAACTTTTATCTCAATTTGAAATTAGTAAAGTTTCTTTAGTTTCCATTTATCTCTTTTTCTTATGTTGGAAATTAAATTGTAGCTGATTTATTGGGATTTATTTTTTTATTTTTTATTAATTATATTGGTACATTTAAGGTATACAATATAATGACACTCATCGTTGGAAATTTACACCTTTACATAATCCATCTTGGTTCTTATTTTTTCCCCATTCCTCTGCCCTCCCTTCAACCCCTCCACCCCTCCCTATCTACAAAGACTTTGTTTCCAATTTTTCTTTTTCTCATATTAATTCCATTCCCTTCTTTCCTTTCCCTTACCCCTCCCTATTGGGTTTTTTTTAAAACTCAAAGTTGTCCTTAATTCTCCATCCCATTAATTGATTTTTCCAAGTGCAGAGACCATCATGTGTTTTGATGAATATATAACATTTTTCATTTAGTCTCTTCTCACTGGCTTAATGGACTTGATTCCCTACTGCTAGAAAGCTTGGCTTAGTTCTGTATAAAAAGTATTAAATACTGAGTCAGAGGCCCGAGGACAAGTTCTGTCTCCACAGTTTACTGTTTGACTTGGTCAGGTATTCCATCTCTCAGAACCTCAGTTTTCTTATTACAAAAGAGAAATAAGATCATCCAAGGCAATGTATGTAGCAGTGCCACGCACTTTGGCTGGCACTGAATGGGAGATAAATAATTGCTTTAAAGATTAGATCAGTACATCATTTAACTAAATTGATAATTTACATTTTATCTGGTATTATTTTCTTATTTTGGGTGTAATTCAGTACTATATTTGGTAATTTGAACCGGAAGCTCAGCCTTTAATTTGTGTAGGAATTCATTTCCCTGTTAACCTCCTTTTCCTCCAATGTCCCATGTATTCTAGATGTCTCTACTGAAGACATATCTTTGCTTCTACTTTTTCACTTAGAAAATGGAGCATGTTGGGCCGGGGATTTAGCTCAGTGGTTCCAGCGCCTGCCTTGCAAGCGCAAGGTCCTGAGTTCGAACCCCAGTACCAAAAAAAAAAATTGACCATGTTTTCCAACTCCTCAGGTTGTTTTCTTTGAATCTTTAGCTTTATGCAAATTGGTAACTGCTCTCTTACCTGTGTAACGTTGGATGAGTTATTCAACCACCTTTTGAAGCTTGTTTTCTCAACCTTGAAGTATCATACACATTTCATAGGATTATGGTGTCAATTAAATGAGGTAATCAGTGTAAAGGACTTTGTACAATAACTACCACATTACAGGTACATAATAAATCTTATCTCTTATTT